CCCTTGGGTCTACCCGTACCCGCCCCCCCCCCCGCCCCCCCCCCCCCCACCCTTATCCCACCCAACCCCTCGACTGGCCGCCGTTCATCCTCCACCCGAGTCGCTTACGCACGCCCACCACGACGCCAGCCAACCACCGCCACCCACGCCCACCCCACCTCACCCCACCCCACCCCAGAACAGGGACCGGAAAGAGAGCAGGGCGGGCAAGAGGGGCATGTCGCTCAACAACAAAAGTCGTGGGGAGTGCAGGGGTATGCGGCGCGTGAGCGAGTGTACAAGGCCGAGCTGGCGGCGCGGAAGGAGGCCCAGCGGATCGAAGAGCTGAAGAAGGAACGGGAGGAGGAGGCCAAGCGGGAGGCACTGCGGCGGATGAACAGGTCGACGAGCGGAAAGGACGATGGTCCGCAGCGGATCGAGTGGATGTATGCCACGCCCATGCAGGCTGCATCAGAGGATGACTACATGACAAAGGCTGCCGAGATGGAGGAGAAAGAGCTGAAGGAGGCCATCGCCAGGGAGAAGGCTGCACTCGCAGCCGCTCCGGGTGCTCTCTTTGTTGCCTCAAAGTCGGTCAACCAAGAGCTCGAGGCGCGCACCGTCGCCCGGGAGGATCCCATGTCCATCATCATGGCCAAGGCCACCGAGAAGCTGGCCAACCCGTCCAAGCGTCTGCTAGTCCACGCCGGCACCGGCGCAAACACCCTTCCGCTAGGCCCGCGCACTTTGATGGTTCCGGGTGCAGCCGTCACCAAGGATGCGCGTGAGCGCGAGCGCGAACGCTCCCGCTCGCGGTCCCGCGAGCGCGGTCATCATGGCCATGGCCGCTCGCGCCGACACTCGTCGCGCTCCCACCGCTCACACTCGCACCGCAGCCGCAACAAGACCAAGAGTAAGGACAAGAGTAAGAGCCACCACTCACGGTCCCATCGCTCACGCCGTTCACACCGCTCACACAGATCCCATCGCTCAGGCAGATCCCATCGCTCCCGCCGATCGCGCCGCACGCGGAGCGGGAGCAGGAGCAGTACCAAGAGCGGGAGCGGGAGTGGGAGCGGCTCGCACTCGTCCAGGTCAGGCTCGGCGTCTCTTGCCGCATCGCCTGCTGCCCCGGCTCAAGC